TTAAGGAGGGCAAGAAAGCAAAGCTGTCCAGGCATCTGAGGCAACAGGTTTAGTGCATAGAGATAAATTTGGGGTTAGAGAATGTCAAAGAAACCTCAAAGGAAAATGAGCCGAAACTAAGGGATTTAGAAATTAGGAAAGACTAGAACCGTCTGATGTCAAGGGATTAATTTGCAAGAGACTTGCAAAACAATACACGTGTTATCTATCATAGCATCCTGCATCAAGGACCTGGAACTTTCCATAGAGGAATTGCAGAGCAACTCAGAGTTAAAAGTTATACAAATAGTAAAGCCCTTTCTCTTTCAAGATGCTCAAGGAAGAAGAAAAAGGAGAAAGAGAAAAAGATGAAAAAGAAGGAAGAGGAGGAGGACGAGGGAAAGAGAAGGAGAAGGAGAAATTTGAAGCCCTAAAAAACTAGCTTCTTAGGAATCTCAGTGGAAAGATAGAAAACAAGACAAGAAGCATTTTTTTACTTGTGAAATGCATGCAGGGCACTCTTGTCCCCTCAGGGTGAGAAAGGAGAAGGAGAGTTTTTTAGTACAGGCATTCATGGGGGAAAAGTACTTGAGTGAGAAGAAAAAAATTCTACTTTACCTCCTGGACATGGCCCTAGCCCCCAAAGAGAGGAAGGAGGCCAGGAGCTGCTTGAGTGAAAGGTGGCCCAGTCCCAAGGAGAGGGAGACAGATCCCAAAGGAAAACCCAGAGTTAGGAAGCAAGAAGCACAAATGGGGGACCCCAGAACGCCTGATGCTCCTTCAGCATCACTGGGACCACTTTGCTTATAACTAGAAACTCAGGCAATAGCTGAAAGATATAGCTAAATGATAAAAGGAGCAAGCTGCAGAAATAACCTGTCAGTATGTTTCTCTATATTTCCAGACACATACCTGCAGAGATGCATTTTATTTAGAATTGGAAGGATACCTATCCACTGTTAGCACAGCTACTGGGCAGGGGAGACTTGTGATGATAAAGGGAAGCTTTCACAGTAGACTATCTTTATATAATTACTTGAATCTTTTACCAAGAGAATATAGTCATTTATAAAGTAGTAAAAAGACAAAGAAAGAAAAGAGAGACACTCAAGGACATCACAGAAGAAGGCATCAAAGCCAAGTTTCAACACCTCCTGTTCCCCCCCTTTCTTAAGTCCTTCCTCCTGCTCTGGAGAAGGGAGAAAGGCTTTTCATTTAATTAGAATGTAAAATATATTCTTTTTTTTACTGCCTGGTGGCTAGGGATATTCTGCTGACTCAGCAGTGAATAATCAGCTTTGACCTACATAATAGAAGAACTCAAAGTGGCAGCTGCAGTTGCATAAGCAGATCCAGATCTGCAGTTCCATTCCCCCCGCCTCCCCCGGCTCCTAGCAGGCAAGCCAGTTACAGCAGGTTCTCTCCACCTCTCCACCCCCATCTGGTCATCCCACAGCCATTTCTCATCCGATCTATTCTGGCCCCACCACAGAACCAGACTTGACCTCATCTCCCTCCCACAGCCAACTCCAGCCAGGGGCCCATGGGGGCTCTCCCTGCCAGGCTCCCTGCCCAGTCTTTCAGCTTCCTCCATGATATACCTCTCCCAGTGGGTGGCTTTTCCTTTAAAAATTCTCATCCTACAGTGGGTCAGGCATGTCATCAGTATGCCAAAATGACACAGCAGAAAGCAGAGCTTCTTATTTCAATACATTCACACCATCCCAAGCTCTCTACTGATTCTCTCTAAAACCTGGCTGGACTGGGCCACTCTTGGCTCTATTGCCAAAGAACACTGGGCTTATTTTTACACAGCTGGCTTGTCTGGCACCTGCTAAGAAGACAGGGTGCTGGAATAAAAGATAACAGCATTTAAGAGAAGTAGCATCCATCAAGCCTTCCAGACAGTTGGTTCCTTTTTCATTGGATACCTTAAGAGATGATTAGAGGGCCTACAGAAGTTGATTCCAAAAGAAAATAGAAAAAATAGTATTCAACAAACCAGAAAACAGAACCTTTCTTTGCACAGACTCAAAGCAACTGGGAATGTCTGGAGAGAAAGTGTGAGTGTGTGGCTAAGTCTGCATGTTCACCCCTGCAGGGAGAGGGGTCGTGGGCTCCACATGGCCTTCACATCTGGGAAGAAGCAGGTAAGGTAGCACATGGGGTTAGGTAAGGAGCTATTTTCCATTTCTGCCAAAAGAAATAAGGAGAAATAAGCTTGGGTTTTAGATTTTTCTGTTTATGAGGGTGGAAAAAGTACTTGAATACCTAGCTCAAGGACATTGAAAAATTCCTGTCTCTGGAGGACAAGATTGACCAATGTTAAGTTCGAGATAATCTCCCCGCAGTGCTACTTAGGAGGCAGAGGACAGGTCAGATAAGCTTTATTGAACCTTTGATGGCAGGAATTGGGAGAGGAGAGGACTTTGTCATTTTGTCATCAGAGTTTCTAAATTCCTCCTTGGCTTGGTGCTAGCAGCGTCCAGTTAAGAAGTGGGCTGTGGAGGGGACACTGCACAAGTGTCTTTCTAGAGCTGGGCCATAGGCAGGAGACATCCCTATCTGGCCTGAGGAGGTATCTATGGGGCTATACTACTGTAGAGGGCCTTGGCACAAGGGCCTACCTACCATTGGTAGGTTGGGGGAAGGCAAAAGAGGCTGTAGGGTCAGCTGCCAAGGGAACTCCACCCTGTGGTCTGGTTTTTCTCTGTGGGGACAGAGTGACCAGTCTCATAGTTCTCAATTTCTTGTTAGAGAGCAAGGGTGGCCTCTTGTCTGAGATACTTTAGCAGTATCAGCAGGAAAAAGGAAGCTGAGGCTATGTGCACGAGACGCTGAAATAGCAGTGGCCAGCACTTATGTGGTCCCCTTTCCTACCCTCATTAACCTGTCTGATGGCAGAAATAGTAACTCTTCCTGCATTCCCACGCCACCTTCCCCCTCCCCATACCTTTCCCAGCTCTGGATCCAGCTAGCAAGCAAGGACTGAGTAACCACCCTCAGTGACTACGTGACCCTGTGCTAAGAACATTTATTATCTCATTCAATCCTTACAACCATGACCTCCTGTGCAGGCAGGATTATAACTTCCATCTCACAGTGGGGTGGGGTGGGGAACTTTGCCAAGCACTTGCCACAATTAGAAAGTGGTGCAGAGATACAGCCTCAGGGAACCTGGTTCTGGAGTCCACATTCCTTTGCCTCTAGGGCCATGAGCAGGCCTGACCAAGCACAAGGGAATATATCCCAGATAAGGATCTTGGCTCCATAGTACAACCTGCCTGGATGGTAGGGGTCTATCCCAAAGCTGTATAACACTGCCAAAGAGGGAATGCTTGCCAAGGATTTTACCCCTGTGAGAGGCTTTGGGGTGGGCAAGTGATTCCTCTTCCTCTTTCCCACCAGCCTGACAGAAGGAAAACGTCAAGATCTGGGAAAAGAGGTGGCTCAGTTGGTCACTGTCCTCAGCTAAGTGTATGTGTGTTGAAAGGTATGGGAAGGCAAGGATCATGTTAATTCCAAAAAGTGGAGTCTCTGAAAAAAAATCCAAATATTTACTTTAAAAATTAGTTTTTGGTTAAAATATATAAAACATTTCAATCTATTGAGATCCCTGAGATTCTTAAAAATACAAGTTGCAGAACTCTATACAAATCTCTAGCCTATTCCAGCTCACAGACATCTTTTCCTCTTCTTTGAATTTTTAAAAAATGTTTATTTTTGAGAGAGAGAGAGAAGGGTGGGGGCAGAGAGAGAGGGAAACAGAGGATCTGAAGTGGACTCTGGGGCTTGAACTCACAAACTCATGAAGTCATGAACCGTGAGATCATGACCTGAGCAGAACTCAGACACTTAATGGACTGAGCCACCCAGGCACCCCTGTCCCTTCTCTGAAATTTTACTGCAATTGAATCCTCACTACAGAATCTGTTTCTGTGGCTTTTCTCCTCAGTTAGGCAGAAAGCATATCAAGGGCAGGGACCACAGACAATGCATTTATTTTCTCCAACACACAGCTTTACACTCTCCTCCCAGAGAGTTTTAAGAGGGGTGTCTGGGTGGCTCAGTCAGTTAAGCGTCCGACTTCAGCTCAGGTCGTGATCTCATGGTTTGTGGGTTCGAGCCCCGTGTTGGGCTCTGTGCTGACAGCTAGCTCAGAGCCTGGAGCCTGTTTCAGATTCTGTGTCTCCCTCTCTCTCTGACCCTCCCCTGCTCATGCTGTCTCTCTCTCAGAAATAAAACAAACAAACAAACACCCAGAGAGTTTTAAGATGTGAGCTGGCAGACTGAGGTAAAGGTAGATGAAGCCAGAAAAAAATCTTCCTACAAGCAGCAGGGAGCCTCCATGGTGTATGTACTGGAAAGAGAAGGAATTAGGAGATCTGCCACCTTGAGTATTTATTTGCCTGACTCTTGTACTTACCTGCTCTAGGTAAGTGATAATACTGGCCCTGCTTACCTCATGGATTTGTCATGAGGCTCAGATCAGATAATATAGGTGAAAGTGCTGTGTATGATGTAAAGAACTTTGCCAGTGAAAATTACTATGCCCCTGAGCAGCTATTTATGTTTCTTCTTCTTCTTCCTTCTTTTTTTTTTTTTGAAATTTTTTGATGTTTATTCATTTTTGAGAGAGAGACACATACACAGAACGTAGTGGGGGAGGGACAGAGACAGAAGGAGACACAGAATCTGAAGCAGGCTCCAGGCTTTGAGCTGTCAGCACAGAGCCCAACTTGGGGCTTGAACTCATGAGCCATGAGATCATGACCTGAGCCAAAGTTGGATGCTTAATCGACTGAGCCACTCAGGCACCCTAGTTTCTTCTTTTTAACACCAGATAATTATATGCAGAATCAGTTCATCCAAAGCACTCATGTAGGAAAATTAATGAAGAGGGGGGTGGAAATAAAGGAGGGAAAGAAAGAACGAGGGAGAGGAAGGAGAACCAGAGACAAGCGGGCCACCAGGAAGGCCAAAAGAGGCTGTCCTGAGAGCAAGGCCCAGATGGCACTTACATAAGCAGATGGCAGCCAGGAGTCGAAGGCCAGACTCTGGGGGGAAGCAGGTGGGGAAGAGAGGCTGCAGCACATAGTTGGAGAAGGTGAGGGCAATGACAGCCTGGTTGGTGGGGTAGATCACCAGCACTGCAATCCACAGCCTCAGGAACCTGAAAGGGAAATAGGACAGAGTTTGACCCAAGACAGCCACAGAGACCCCTGTCCCTAATGACATTCATGGCAGGGATTAACTAGTCATCAAGAGAAGTCTGGGCAAGTCACTGGGAAGGAGAGCTGGGTGGGATTTCATTTTCATTTTCAGGGGTGCTGAGGAGCCCAGCCTCTTCTCATGAGACAGCTGGCCCTCTGCAATGACAATAAAGTGGTTTGACGATGAGGAGCTAAGTGTCTGCTAGTGCAAACACACGTCTTGGAACTCCTTCTCTCTCCCCTCTCCTTTTATCATATCTTCTCTATGCCCTGGCCCCCAGCATCCAGCAGTGGAAAATAAAATTGGCAGCCTGAGAATTCTGACAGCCAGGACATGCTTAGGGTGTGGCCACCTAAGCAACTCACAGGGGTGGCACTGAGTGGGAGGATGAGGGGTAAAGTTCCCTCCATATCCTTGGCTCCTTGGTGAGGGCTCAGCTCCTCAGTAGCAGAGCTGCAGAAGCTGAGGAAATTCAAGATCAGAGCCTGGCTCTGCTGGGAGGCCTCATCCTTGACAGTGTGAGAAGAGGGTACCCATTTCTTAGGTGTTCACTCTAATTTGTCAAATAAAAGGGCTTTGTTTTGTGATGTGCTTTCTCTGAGAGTCTATGGTCAGAGTTGTCATAAGTTCAATTTGCTATCACTTATAGAATCTTGCCCACTGAGATCAACAAAGAGGTAAAAACTACAACCTGGTTCTTCTGCCATCCTCAGGAGAATCAAAGGGACACACAGCTACATTAGTAACCATGAGAGGAAGCAAAAGAGGAATCCTATTCTCTAGCTCTCCTTGGCATGCTGGAAACTGCTGGCCTCGGCTTCTAGATCACCCAGCCCTCTCGGGATCCTCTTACCCAGCCAGTCCTCCGAAGATGTCTTTGACATAGGAGTAGTCACCTCCAGATTTGGGGATGGTGACACCAAGCTCAGCATAGCACAGGGCTCCCACAGCTGTGATGAGACCAGTCACAATCCAGACAATGAGAGCGAGGCCCACAGAGCCGGCATTCTCCAGCACACCTTTTGGCGAGACGAAGATTCCGGAGCCAATGATGTTCCCTGCATGAAGCACCAAAGTTGCCAAGGAAGACAGTGAGTCAGCACAATTGGCAAGACTGGCATTTGCAGGAGTGGTCTCATCTCTGGTTTGATCCTAAAATGCCTTTGGAACACACCTTCAGGCAGGTGTCTAATAATAATTTACATGTCTCCTTTGGTCCTAAGGATACCCCTATGGAGTCAGATATAATTTCTCTCATTTTACAGTCTGAGATATCAAGTGCATTGTCAAGTCCACATGGTAGCAAGTAGTGGCTCAGGTATTGAACTTCAAGACCCTTTTACTGCGCTGTACCATGGTTTACTTGAGGCAACAAAAATCTTAAGACTAACTGGAAATGGCAGGACTGGAAAAGCAAGCTCTTCTCAGAGACAATCTGCAGAGTAGAAAGCTTCAAAAATGAGCCTAAGGGCAACACATTTTGGATAGATTGTGGTCATACCCCATGGCTGGGGTTTTTTAAGAGCCAGGAGCATCGATAGCACTCCTGTAGGCTGGCTTTTACCCCAGACATGCCAGCCCCACCCTTGGTAAGAAATACGAAATAACTCTATAAAAACAGTCCTAGTAGCTTGGAAGTGGTTTGTAGGAGTGCAATACGTGCAAAGGTTCAGCACTATATTCTTTCAAAGGTCATTCCCCTCCATTGTTTCATGCGACCTCACAAAAACCTTATGAAATTTGGGAAGAGGAGGAAGAATAGGTATTTCTCTCTTTATTTTATAAAGAGACTAAGACATAGAAGGGTTAAGTGACTTTTCCCAAATTCCACGGCTACTGATGGGTAAAATTGGATCTAGAAGTCAGTCTCCTGATGCTTAATCCAGTGCATTTTCCACTAATCTATTTCTGCTTCTGTGTGCAGAAAGGCCGGCTTTCTCCTGAGAGGTGAGATGGGTAGCAAGGAATAGTTGACTACTGGGAAGTGTATATTGGGCAGGGGAGGAGTAGACAGTGGGGAGCACCTGACATGCTTCCTCCCAAGCTTTCCTCTACTTCTTTTGATTCAAGGTGATCAGGGTGCTCTGCACAGATACTTTGAAAGAAAGCTCTTTGAGGGCGAAGGGAAGAAGCAGAGACTAAGTGGATGCAGGTAGAAATGAAGAATTGGAGTATTATGAGGCCAGCTCACTTTGACAATGTTCTGAGGATATCTGAAACTCCCAACACCTCTCTCAGAGGGTTTGGAATCAGATCTGGGTTTAACAAGACACAGAGTATGAGATTTTACACTTAACTTTCAAAAATGACTTTCAGATCTCAACCATAACTCAACCTCAGTCCAGTCCTGAAAGTTTCACTTCTAAACCAAAGTTCATGCATCTGGTTATTTCAGTCAAAGGGAACAAGAAGAAAATATTTATATGTAAAAAATAATACATCTTATTCCTCTTGGATAAAGAATATGCTTCTCACACTAAAAAAACTGCAGCATGAGATGACTAATGGGAGAGGAAAGGGGTCTAGGCAGGTATGACAGCAGCAACTGTGAGACTGACATACAGTATCTGTAGCTAGATTCAGATGGTAAGGAAGCACATTTGTCTCAAACCTGTCTTCCTTCTGTGCGGATAGTCTATCTCAACAGAACCGGGCTTCACACACAGATGAAGCTAAAAGAAGTAACAATCCCTCATGTTCAGCTTTGTGATCTAAACATAGGGCAAAGAGAGACAGAAAAATGAAATTTTGGACCTCATTAGTTCTTAAAATTTTTTTAATGTCTTATTTATTTCTGAGAGAGAGAGAGAGAGAGAGAGAGAGTGAGCAGGGGAGGGTCAGAGAGAGAGGGAGACACAGAATCAGAAACAGGCTCCAGCCAGCTCAGAGCCCAACACAGGGCTCGAACTCACAAACGGGAGATCATGACCCGAGCCGAAGTTGGACGCTTAACCCACTGAGCCACCCAGGTGCCCCTGGACCCCATTAGTTCTTAAAGACTGTTCCTTTTCTTGTATGTTTACTTAAAGTCCTATGTAATAGGAATAAAAGGACATTGTTCAGCCTCCCTGTCTCCTCCACCCTCCATATGTGCTTTGCATGAAGGTTAGGCTAGAGGAGACTAAAAGACCTCCTGGTAGTGTACCAAGACTCAGGACACAGTTACCCTAGCAAGTGACTTACTTAACTTGCCAAATGTAATGTGCTGCTTTCCTCTGGAAGACATCAAATGCCAGGAGCTAAGAACAAGAGATGGGGCTGCTCACAATGCTGAAAGGTGATAGTAAACTCCTTGCCTAGCAGGAATTTATCAGAAAAGTAATTTGTAGGCATTTCAAAGCCAGCCAAGAAGAGAGTAATATAGCTAGAGTTATAAAATAGTTCAAGGGGTTAGAGAAACAATCAGTATAGAGAAAAACAAGGTTTGACTTTGGTCTTTAAGGTGCTGGAAAGGGAGATGGTGAAGGAATGGGTAGGTGTTTCCCAGAGCCAGGAATGGCTGTCACAAGGAGGAAGTGGGAGTGAACGTTAGTTATCAAAGAGATCCTGTCTTCTCAGGAATGAAATGTCAATGTTCTACCAAGGATTCTCGGAAAACAAATATTGCAGTGAGGATCAGTAAGCACTTCTGTTCTCCAGCTTTTGTTCTGGCATTTCCAGAGTGTGTGCTCCCTTCCTAATTCCAGGTGCAGGCAGCAGCTGGAAGATGGGATGTGCAACACCAACAGCCCTTTTCGAGTCTGATTATTTAACTGCCTTTCCTTATTCTTGGATAACATTCTTATTCCGTGGAGCTGCTGGGATGATGGTGAGGGTCATAATGGGTTGACAGTGAGACAAAAGTCTTCATTTTATAAAAACTGCACTCTACCCCTGGCCCTATAGTCTTAATTTTGACCAAACTAAAATTACGAAGATAAAAGCTAATAAAAGAATTACGTTAGCAAAAACATAGTGCTAGAGAACAGGAAGAAGAGGAATGTCTCTCTGATTCTAGGAAGCTGCTACCTAGAAAACCAGAATCAGATAACATTTCCTCCACCTTAGTGGCCTCTGGAGCTTCTGCAGGGGAAGGAATGTCACACAGAGCTGTGTTTTAGAGTTGAAAGAACATTCACATTACATTTAGTCAAGAGTAATGCCAACTATTTACTACTTCCTCTCACTTCTAAAGGGTCACACAGTAGACACTCCATAAATGGTTACTAAATTAATGATGTCAGACATCCATCTAGAACTTATGTCCACAGAACAATTTAATGTACATGTTTCTTTGGAACCTCCAAATCCTGTAAAGTAGGTCAATTGTGTATTGTGGGCAAATGAGTAAACAGGCCATTTCTTTCACTGCTGAAGAGAGTGGCCTGGCTATTATTACTGTCTCCAATTTATAGGGGAAGAAAATAGGGCAACCATTTTTCTTTTTTTTTATTAGTCCCATTTTTCAAATGGGGAAAAAAAATGAGAGAGGTATTACTGTCCCTATTTTATGGATGAAGAAACTGAGATCAAGAGAGGTAGTTACTTGTCTAAATCACAGAGTAGGTTAGTAGTAACTGGATTAGATCCTAAATCTGTCACACAGCCTCAAGTTTTTCCCAGGAAATAGTCAGCTTTACTAAGATGATACTTATTAAGGAATGCTTATTAAGAGAAGATGCTTATTAAGGAATTAGAACACGGACCTGATTCCTTCCTTCTAATGCACCATCTTCGATAGTGATTTACAAAGAGTTTCATATCCATTTCTTAATTTGATTCTCAGAACCACTTTCTCAGATGAACAGGGCAAGTACTATCATTCCTATTTACCTTTGCTAAGACTGAGTTTTAGAGAGGTGAGGAGACTTGGCCAAAGTCACATATTGCATAGGCAGCAAAGCCTGGACTAGAGGCCAAGTCCTTGGACTCCTGGCCTGGGTTTCCTCCACTATTATACACAGCCTCTCCTCTAGAAATTGCACAATAGAGACTTTAACTGGAGGGATTTTACGCTTGGACCCTGTTCAAGTGAGATTGTTCTGGAGTGGCTTTGAAAAAGGAGAGGTGGGAAAGGTCTTTTCTATCTTGACTATGGACCTTTCTTGATGAGAGGACGGAAGAAAGTTGATTATCATAGGGATGTTTTTCTCCATTGTTTTACTCTTAGACTCATTGTCTATAAAACCATTTAAGGATAAGATGCCCATTCATCTGGTATAGTCAAGGTTTCAATCCTCCCTTTCATCCACCCCAATTAGTAATATAATCGCCTTATCATAAAGATCTCCTTTGGTAAAAAATGGGTCCTAGGATGTCTGGACAATGAGGCCCAGCTTGGCTTCTTCTGTCAAAGAAAAGTCAAGCAAACCACTCCATTAGAAAGGGGCCAAGTTGTATCAGTGGGCAAGTCTTCACTAGAAAAAAATGTTGGAATTAGGAAAATACACATTTGCTGTATATAATTTGATTTCCCCACTTGTGGGCCAATACTCATGTGACTCCTATTAAGGCCTTACTCACATCCAGGCATGTCCATACTAGAATGCTGTAGGCATCAAAGAATTTCCTAGGGCCTGGAATTATAGACTTCTAAGGCCCAACAGACATTCCAATCCAAAATTTTTTGGCCTTCCTTAATAGCTCATGCTAGTCTTGGAGTCTAATCAGAGCTCCTCCTAGGGCTTGGAGGTTCTGTCCATTTCTACGATGTTTAGAGAAATCCAGCTGAACTTTCTTTATGCTTCTTCCTTAAAGTGGCTGAGAAGATCTCAGGATTTTCAGAACTGGGGGAAGTGTGCAAGCAGGGTCGGGTATGTTGGGGCCTTGATCCTCACAGCAGGAAGCTTACCATGTTTCCTGCCCTGTATACACTTTCCCATCAGGATCAAACAAATAGCTACATCAGGGTGACAGCAGGTCAAGACTCTGACACATGCCCTGCAGAGTTGCTATCTCTGGCAGAATAAACATGTGGAAGGTGCTTCAAGACCTTACTGGATTCCTTACTGGAAAATGAAAAGGGTGGAAGGCTCAGAATTGGAGCCATTGATTCCTTGCTTTGCCACTCACAAGCTGT